CAGGATTGTCTTAAAGGGAAAAATCAATGTTATGATTTGAATATGAGATATCCTTCACAGGCTGTCAAGTAGAAGACTGTTCCCCAGCTGGTGATGCTATTTTGGGAGGTACTGGGAACTTTCCAGCTGGAGGAAATAGGTTATTGGGAGCAGGTATTTGGGGGTATCTTGTCCCTGGCCCCTTCCTGTCTCTGCTTGTCTGCCATGTTGTTGTGCCTTACCGTGGGCCCAGAATTGATATAGCTAAGGTCTATGGACTGAAATCTCAGAAGCCATGAGTCAAAATAAACCTTTCTTCCTTTTAAGTTGCTCTGTCAGGTATTTTGTTACAGCAGTGGGAAAAGCTAACTAATACAGTCAGCCAAGTGTCAAATTCAGATTTCTGACCTCCCCTCTGCACTAGTTTATTGGCTCCTTATGTCTCAGATTTTGTCCTTGGCCTGTAACTCTCCTAAAAGCTCTATTGGTTTACTCTCAGCCTTTACCCTACTCACAGGATGGGCAAATGTCCTGAAGGAGAAGCTTATTATGAAATGTTTATTTAACACTTGTTACCTCTTCTCCAGAATCTTGATTCCTCAAGGCCCGTTTTTCCTAGCAGTACTGGGACCTTTAAAAACAGGTTTTTGTAGCAGCTTTTCTAGTTATTCTCAGTTGGAGTGTAGGTTTTCTGCTATGTACTTAATCATTGCCAAAAGCAGAAGTAAACCCTTAAAAGTGTTGAACATAACATGTGTGACAAGATGCAGTGAAAACACAGGAAGGTACTTAGCCTTTTGAGTTATTAAGAAAAATGTCTGGTGGAGAGTGAACATTGAAATGGCTTTTGAACGATATAATGAGGAAGCTGAACTAGAGAAGGGCGTGTGTTCCTATTAGAAGAAATAGTATGAGCAAAGGAACAGTGATGTAAATTAGATGGCAGGGGCAAAGTAGAATCGCAAACTTAATTACTCGTGTTGTATGAAGTTTAATGCAGAGTGATGGAAGGCGTATGAGGCTGGAGTTGGACTGGTGTGTCATAGTGGGGACTATACTTAATCTTTTAGGTAATGGTGAACCTTTTAGATTTAAAACAGCAGAATCATTTTAATAGACTAGCAGCATGTGAAAATAATGTATATATAAAATAATAGGAATAGATGTATAGAAGCCTGTTTTTTTACCATGCTGAGTCTATTATAAAGTCCTTTTTTTTTTTTTCCTTTTTTGTGGTACTGAGGTTTGAACTCAGCCTGTGCTTGCTAGGCAGGTACTTTTCCACTTGAGCTACACCCCTCAGCCTGTTTTTACTTTAGTTATTTTTTTAGGGGCTGGCCTTAGACCTTAATCCTCTTACCTATGCCTCCAGCATAGCTTGAGATTACAGGCATGTACCACCATGCCTAGCATATTTTTGAGATGGGGTCTTGCTAACTTTTTGCTCACACTGGACTTGACCCTCCTGTAAAGCTGGTATAGCAGGCATGAAACCACACCCTGTTATAAATTTCCTTTGGGATTCAACTTAATCCTCTTAATCTTGCTTAAGCAATCCATATGAGAAAAGAATAGTTCCCGTCATGAAATTAAGAAATGCTGTATGGAGCCTGCTTTTTTCTTTTATCCTTTTATTCCAGATGAATAGGAATAGAATTACCTAGGCATGGTACTTTCTGTAAAACTATCCTTATGATATTATTTAGTATTATTTGAATTATTTTGGAAAAAAAATCTTAGAATCAGTGTTGCTTCAATGAAAGTAAGAGTGGGTCTTCTCAAACTATTATCTTCTGTGCTTCTTTGCAGTACTGGGGTTTGAACTTGGTGCTTCACACTTATAAGGCAGGTGCTCAACCACTGCCGTACCTCCAGCCCTTCTTGCTCCAGTTACTTTGAAGATAGGGTCTCGCTTTTTGTCCAGGCTGGCCTGGACTGAGATTTACTGCCTGTCACTGTGATGACAGGTGCACAACACCACACTAGTTTTGACTAGTGATGACTAAAAATTGTATCATGTTTAAAAGAATCACATTTTTTTTAGACTTTTTCTGTCATTATTATTAGGGAATCAGGTAGGTTAGAAGTGGGAAAGGAGCAAATATTTGAGTGCCATTTTCATTCTATATGTGTTTCACATAAGTTACATCACTTAGTTATCATAATTAGATATGGTAATCACCATAACTCATTTTCTATATATGGCATCTTTTGTGGTACTTGTTAAATTTTTATGTTGTGTTAGTTGTCAAACATCAAGTACTGACCTTCTTTAATGTAGTCTGTTATTCAGCAATGTTTTTTCTCCCAGCTCCCATTGTATCTTTGACCTGAAGGTGGAGTTAGCTCTCATTGCTACTGTAGGTCACTTTTGTCTCCCTGAAAGCCTGCTTAGTTTTCTCTTAGGCTATCATCACGTACATCTCCTTTTGTGAATTTATTTCCTCCTTGATTTGTTGATTTGTTGGCTGGATTTTCCTTCTCTTAAATGCTTTACTCTCCTTACCTAGAAGTTTTGTGATTGCCTTCACTTACCAGGAACCTTTAGAGGCAGAACTGGATCTTAGAGTAGTATCTTGGGGCTGCATGAAAATACAGGTTATTGTAGAACAAAGGACCATTCTAAGAGATACTTAACCAGGTCCTAGGTATAAGGCTGTGTCTGCTTTCTCTCGCCTAGAAAAGCCATAGCTCCAGACAGTGGTGTTTTAAATCTTTTCCAAACACTTTTTTTGAGAGGGTTAATTCAACTTATGGCATTAATAGCCTGATACCTGTTTCCTCTGTCAAACTGGACAATACTCTTCAGAACACAAATTCCTATTACTTTATGCAATAAGAACCCATCAGATCCACAGCTTTAGTACCATGGATTGCCTTATTCCCTTTCTGATTTATAGAATTATATGAGTGATTCTCAAGGTAACTGTTTCTGGCAGTCTCTTTTTACCTCCACCTTGATTTTATTTGCAAGTTCAAGGAGCTTAACTATTAGTTCTTGCCTTGAGGTTGACATAATTTCTATCCTTCAGAATAAAGTCATGATCTTAAGCACATTAATCTTCCTTATAGCACAAATGATCACCTTCTCCCCTCACTTTTTAACTGTTAAGGTACAGATGGGTTGGTGTCTCTTCTAAAAGCTTTCATTTTTCTGCCCAACCAGACCTTGTGCCCTTCCAGTAGCTCCCTAGAGGCCTGTGTACACTTCTATTTTAATGCTTGTTATATTTTATTAACATTTTTTTTCATTACCCCAATGTTTGGGCACAAGGTCAAGACTGAGAACATGCTTTAGAACACAGCTTGATCAAGACCCCAGATTTCTGTGCCTTGCAACTTCGTACATGATTAACATTTTTTATGGTCTGCCTTACAATAACACTTAAGTTTTGAAGTGTGAACAGGGATGTTTTTTCATTCACCAACTTAGTAGTGAGATGTTAACATGAGATTGTAACCCATCCTTTTTATGTTATCTTGTTAGTATTTCATATCCATTATTGTAGGGTCATTCCAAAAGGATTGACCAGAAGTTGGATGTATGGCAGTTAACCTTTAAAATTGGTTATACCTTGAGTTTAGATCTAGTTGTAAAAATTATGTGAATGTGATTAATTGGTTTGACTAATTCAGAATAATACTTTATTTTGTTGTGCCAAAGCTGAAAAGTGAAGTGACAGGAAGTGAAGGAGGAATCATAATAAAATGAGAAGAGAAATCAACAAATGTAGGCACAGAGATTATAAGCAGAAAGTTATATATTCTTCATAACACTAGAGAAAGCCAAGAAAAATTCCAACTGAAATTTCTGTTTGAGGAGATACATCGTCAAGATATATAGCTATTGATGTTTTAATAGCTGTCAATGCATCTTGTATAATTAAGAAATTAATTTTATTAAATTGACTAATCTGGTTACTTCTGTACCATCTAAAGAAGAAGATAAGTAACATAACATGTTTATATATAACATTTGTAAAAGATATCCATCAAAAACAGTTACAGTGAAAAACACATGGTTACAATAATAAAGACTGCGATGCTTGGATTATATTTACTTGTCTAGAACCCTCCCTTACTGAAAGTACTCTTTTCCACTAATCACAAGAGTGCAGAGTTGTTTATGTACTTTGTTGCACTTCCCTGACAGAAGTTGTGCTTCTAAGGATCTGTTTCATTTAGCATTAGTAAATTATTACCAGTTGTTGTTTAATAGGATTGAAACTGAGGAGTAAAGGTATCGAAATCATTGTTTTAAAGTGTGTACCTTCTAAAAATTAAGCTTCTCAACAATTTAAAAATAATATATGGCAAGATTAAACCAATACTTAGGCTTTGTGTTCATAGCAATCTTTCCAACCAGTAATTTTGTTAAGGTCAGTTTCCCCTTCAGTAGTTTTTCATTGTCATTTAACTATATAATTCATTTGTTGTTTGTGGTATTTTTCATTTATTACTCTTGATTTTTGTTTTATTTTTAATGGACTATCATTCTGTTACTGTAGTCTACTTATATTTCAAATTAAGCTAATGGCTATTTTCTTGCCAAGGAAATTCACTATATTTTCTTATTCTTAAAAGTTGGTAAAATTTAATTGCATAGCTGACTTAAATTTTAAACTGTTATATTAAGTTCAGTTGAACTTAAACTATAAAAAGTAAAAGAATATTGGATATTGATACTAAATGTGATAACTAGTACATAAAGTTTTATCTTCATTGAACTCATTTGATTTTGAATAACCTTAAAAACACTTTTAATATATAAATGCATTTTTCTGTGGTGTTTGGTAACTTTTTCTGAGAGAATTCTAATATATGTTTGATGATAGCTAAAACTTTATTTTAATTTTTTTTGTTTGTTTTTTATTTCTTGTTTGCTTTTTTTTTAAATTCATTTATTCACATGTGCATACATTGTTTGAGTCATTTCTCCCCCCTACCCTCCTCAGTTCCAGGCAGGTCCTGTTCTGCCTTTATCACTAGTTTTGTTGAAGAAAAGAGACAAGCATAATAAGGAAGACAGTGTTTTTGCTAGTTGAGTTAAGGATAGCTATACAGAAATATTCCTAGCATTGCGTTCATGTTATGACCCATGTTGATTCATCTCTAACTGGTCTTTACCCTGGTTACTGATCCCCTTCTCATGATGACCTTTGTAGCTTTAAGGTTTCTATATTAGCTCCTCTGGAGTGGGGACATCAAATGCTTTCATGTTTTGGGTTTTCTGCCTATTTCTATATACCTATATGTTAATTTAATTTTTTTTAATGGTTCTCTGTTTTAGAATGTTTCTCCATCCCAGAGAGATGAAGTAATTCAGTGGTTGGCCAAACTCAAGTACCAGTTCAATCTTTACCCAGAAACATTTGCTCTGGCTAGCAGTCTTTTGGACAGGTTTTTAGCTACTGTAAAGGTAAATACTTTTTAAACGTAACATTTTGCTTGAGGATTTATATGTTAAACTAGAGGCTGTTATTAGTAAATGTACTGTAAAGGAGAAAGAAATGGAGTATCTTCTGCTATTTTAAAATTTTGGAAGTATTTCTCTTTGTATTTTGTAATTTTTTTTTTTTTTTTTTTTTTTGGTGAGACTGGGGTGTGAACTCAGGGCTTTGTGCTTGCAAAGCAGGTGCTCTATAGTTTGAGCCACGCTTCCAGTTTATTTTGCTCTGATTATGTTGGAGATGGGGGTCTCACAAACTATTTGTGCAGGCTGGCCTTAAGCGGTGATCCTCCTTATCTCAGCCTCCCTTGGTGCCTGGCTGTAATTTTCATTTTGCTACAAGTACTCATACTTAGCTTATAAAATTTTTGCTCTCTGGATTTCAGTAAAAATTACATAACCTTGGCAGAGTTTTTTGGTGTACTAGAGGTAGACAGTGAATCAGACTGGAAAAGGATAAGCCTTTTACACATATTTCTCTGTCACTACTTGTTTTTTGAATATCCATGTAGTGTGGTTTTCTGGGCTACATGTAAACACTTCACTTTCCAGCACAGATGTCATAAAACAACTTTGGTGTATTTTCATTGATTGGCAGCATGCAAACATATTAATGGGTTTTATTTTGTCCTTATTGCTGTAATTATCACTGGCTATGTTCTGCCACAGAAAACCCTTTGTTATCAAGTATAAAAAAATGAAAGGCGGTGGATCTGGAGTGTTAAGAATTTGGGTAGCCATTCAGTTATCTTTTTATGTTTCAAAAATCTATCCTTTTTCTAGTTATACTGGGATTTGAGCTCAGGGCCTCATACTTGCTAAGCAGGTACTCTACCACTTGTGCCACTCCACCAGCTCTTTTTTGTGTTGTGTATTTTTGAGACAGGATCTCGTGAACTATTTGCTGCAGTTGGCCTCAAACCACGGTCCTCCTGATCTCTGTCTCCCAAGCAGATAGGATTATGAGTGTGAGCCATTGGCGCCCAGTCAAACTTCTACTCTTAAGAGACTTAATCCTCAGTTACAATGCTTGAAATTTGGCTAATCTGAAAGCCTGCTTTTATCTTAGCAATGAGCCCTTCTCCCTCTATACCATAATTACCGTTTTATAGGTAATTCCTTAAAAAGATGAGCTTAATGTTCTTCCTTCAGTTGTATATTTTTCATTTCTTATTAATTTGGTCCTGTCATGTTTATTAACATCGAATAACCTTACTTACAGACCGTTAACCTATATTGAACCAGTTAATCTAAATCTAAATAAAGGCACTTAAACCATGGAATGACAGCAGTAGGGAAAGAAGCCTCAATCCTAGCAAATGAAATCATTCTGAAGGGATGGGCTGGGGGTATTAGCTCAGTGGAAGAGTGATTGCCCAGCACATATAAAGTCCTGGGTTCAATTCCAGCACCACAAAAAGTAAAAATAAGGAACCTGTATTGGTGATGTGGCTCAGTGGAAGAGTGGTATGCACAAGGCCCTGGGTTAGATTGTCCTGCACTCCCCTCTCCCCTCCCAAAAGGAACCTTACTCCTAACTCAGACCTGTGGAGTCTAAGTCTCTAGTAGCTGATATTTGATTGTCTGTATTTAAAGAAACAAAAATAAACTGCATAGATGATTTTAATATACAGTCAGACATCTGCTGTTATTGTTACTGGTTCCTTTGATTTAGTATTGCCAACCTAAAGTTGTTAAGTGAGTTCTTTGTGTACTGAACTAAGATTGTCTTAAGAGATGTGGGTCTTTATATTATATACATGGAGAAATACAGAGCCTGGAAAACTATCCCAACAGGAAAATGGATCTTAATTTCCTAGATCACCTGTGTCATGCATGTACCTTATCCTCTGAGACTGTTTTCTCAACTGTATGATGAAGACATAATAACTGTCATACTGCTTTTGCCTTTTTAGCTATAATGCTTATTAATAATTAAAGTATTAATAGCATTGAACCAACTTCCTTTTTTTTTTTTTTTTTTGGCAGTACTGGAGTTTGAACTCTCCATACATTTGCTTGGTAGGCACTCCACCACTTGAGCCATGCTCATAGCCCCCAACTTTAATTACTTATGTGAAAGAGGATCACTTATACTGAGACAGTGGCCATTGGTGTGTTTACTGTTAATTTAAGAATGAAATAAGTGTTGAAACAGGTTTCACTGTTTGTGTTGGTGTATGTTACTAATTTATCTCCATGTTGTCAAATTTGATTGAATTAAATCATTCTAATTTTGAAAACTACATTCTGATGTTATATTAACAGACACATTAAAAGTAGGCCTATCTTTTTTTTTTTTTTTAATTTTGTGCTGGTAAGAGTACATCCTGGCATTTACAAAGGTTCTTAACAATATATCATACTTGAATTCACCCTCTCCACCATTCTCCTTTAACCTAACCCCCTTTCCATGGGCCTTTCTTCTTATAGGTAGGAAAATAGATGAATTCAAGTTACTTTAGGCACATCAAATCCAATAAATATTTTTTTTTCACTCTTCGTGACTTGAATATAGGTTTGTGTTTATTTGTGGACATTTAATTAGAAAATGTCATGCATCTACTAGCAGGGTATGATTTTTTATTTTAAGCATTCGAAATATACTTCGAAATATGACTTTGATATTTTCTTGATTCCCTTTAATTTCCCTACCACCTAGTTTGTTATCTTAGTTGTATTTTGTTGGATAACTAAAGAGAATAAAATTAGCTTTACAAATAAGTATACATACATATACTTTAAAATGTGGGGAACATTCTTTCTTAAAAGAAGATATCTTTTAAAATCAAGCTCTTCACTACTAGATAGAAAGTAACTTTAACTCACTAACTTTGGGTTAAATTTCCAGCAACAGAATAATTTTATTATTTCCATAGCATGTCAAATAGCTAGGGCTGGGATGTTAAAAGTTAGCTTTGATCTAGAAAGAAATGGGTTGGAATCATAACTAACTTAATTCCACAGAATTATGTGTATTCTTGTCACATCTGCACATTTCGTTTTTAAAAAAACAGTTATGAAAACTTAAGTTCATTTTAAACAATCACTAAACTTGCCTTTTCCCTTTTCAATACTTTAGGCTCACCCAAAATATTTGAGTTGTATTGCAATCAGCTGTTTTTTCCTAGCTGCCAAGACAGTTGAAGAGGATGAGGTAATGAATCCTTTCAATATTATTTGTTTCCTTTTTTGAAAATTTGTATTTATTAACTTTTTGTTTGCTAAAACAAAAACTGAAAATGAGTTTTTGTCCTCTCCTTCCTGTCCCTGTTCCCATTCCCCTTGGCTTTGCATTTAGAAAATCCCAGCACTGAAGGTATTAGCAAGGGATAGTTTCTGTGGCTGTTCTGCTTCTGAAATTTTGAGAATGGAGAGAATTATTCTGGATAAGTTGAATTGGGATCTTCATACAGCCACACCATTGGATTTTCTTCACATTGTAAGTATATCAAGTCTTCCAGTTTCTTATTTGAGTGTGTAGTCCTGTTTCAGTTACTTTAAAAAAGAGATCATTTATTTTTCTTATTTTGGAAAAGGAAAACTCTTAAAATTAGGGGAAAATTAGAAGTTAGGAAAATGTCAAATAACTGACGCTAAAATTGCAAACTTAGAATTGGAGTAATATATAAGAAGTCATTTCGATATATAATTTCCTAGACATTTAAGAAAAACTAGCTGGCAGAGTAGCTCAAGTGGTAGATTGCCTGTCTAGCAAGTTTGAGGCCCTAAGTTCAAACCCCAGTATTGCAAAAAAAAAAAAAAAAGAAAAGAAAAGTTCTCCAAGAAATACTAAAATGGTGTTTTTTTGATTTTTCAGTTCCATGCCATTGTGGTGTCAACTAGGCCTCAGTTACTTTTCAGTTTGCCCAAATTGAGCCCATCTCAACATTTGGCAGTCCTTACCAAGCAACTACTTTACTGTATGGCCTGCAGCCAATTTCTGCAGTTCAAAGGATCCATGCTTGCTCTGGCCATGGTTAGTTTGGAAATGGAGAAACTTATTCCTGATTGGCTTCCTCTTACAATTGAACTGCTTCAGAAAGCACAGGTAGGTATCAGTCTAATGAAATAGTGTTCATTTTAAGTTTTTCTCTTACTGAAATGCATAGGGATACCAGATGTTTATAAAACAAAAAAGATACTTCTGATCTTGTAATAGCAAACCATTCTTAAAGAGTAGACAAGAGTAAAGTATTATATGCTTTAAACTTGTGGGCTAGATGTCTTTTTCTCCTCTTACAAAATTTAGATAGTATTTTCTTGAGTTTTTTCACCTTTCTCCTAGATTACTTTAAGAATTCTGAAAAATTGATTGTTGGTATGTTCTTCCATTATCATGTAAAGAAATGTCTAGCTCTATCTATAGGTTTCTTATAGTACTTTTCTACTTCACTCTTTTTACAAAGATGCCAAAAATACACACTATAAAAAGTTGCTTTTTAGACAAGTAATTTATTATTGGCTACAAAGAAAAGTGATTTGTAGTAGACTTTGGCAAGTAAAAGCTACTTTACTGAAAGTGGCTTTGTGTCTGGTAACTTCCTGTTACTGCCTGAGATTAAGTTGAAACTTACATTGACAAATTGGTATAAAGCATTATAAGTTGATAAGTTATTAACCACCTGAGTAAAATACAAAGAGTTAGTGGAGGAAATTCTCATGTAAACATGAAGTTAGTGATGCTATATGTTAGCAGTTACTTGGAGAGAAGCTTTTATAGTTCTGTTCATGTCATCTAATAGAATTCATCAGTTATATCCATAAAGGACTCAGAGACTATTAAATTCTGAGCTTAAAAATTTTTTTAAAATACAAAAACAACTAAATGTAACAAATAATTATTACTATTTTGTTTTGTAGTAGAAGAATACAATAAAGAGAAAAAGAATAATGTGTGAATTTGTTGTTTGGTAAGATAGTTAAAATTGATGATGTCATAGATGCCGGCTCTGAAAGTTAAGCACTGAAGTATTTCAGTGCTATCTCTCAGCTTCTGAGACGGTTCATGCTCTGGTTTGTGAACAAAGAAGGACCAGAGAGTCTTTTCATAAAAAGGGTGATAGAGAGCAGCTAGCCAGAGCACAGGTGTTCTCCTTTATTAAATAAATGTTCTCCATATATTAAATTTAGTGGTTTTTTCCTTCGAATTAAATGCTGTGATGGAAATAATTCCTAGGAGGTAGTTGGTTTAATGAGGACTTTTAGAAACTATTATGAGCCACCACATAAATAAATAGTATGACTCAGAAATTTTACTTTGACTACCTAAACTGTTGGAAAGGAAGTTGAATATTAATCCTTCACATTAGACTATAAAGTGAGAGGAATACATATTAATAGAAACCTCATTATTTTTTATTTGAACAAATGATGCATCTCTAAATGTCTCTTGACTTGACCAAATTTTACAGAAAAAAATTGCTGTCTGAAGTGTTTGTCACAAAGATAAACAGAAGTTTTGAAGCATAAATAAGAATGTTGTAAATAGCATTGTGTATTCTGTAGCTTTGCGAGCTTGTTCTCTATTGAAGAACACTAGAGAGTCTGCTAATACTTTTTGTATTGGTGCTAGAAGTGCCAATGAAACTTGTTTCCCCCTTAACAAAAGGAATATTATAAATATTAGAAATCCTTTCATTCAACTCTTATACTTTCAGGGAACTTGGGACTTTCTTAGGGCCACAGGAACCAGTGGGTTTTGGTTGTGGTGGTGATCATGGTAAAATATGTTTTGTTTTTGATACCACACAAACCTTAAAGATTCTTGTCCAGTGATTTTTTTCACTTCTTTTAGAAGTGGAACCCTTTCACTGCCCTCCCCCCCCACCACACACCCCCCAAAAAACCCCAAAAATATGTACACACAATCCCAGAATACTGAGTAGAAAAGTAGAGCTCTCAATTGTAATGTGTATACAAGGGAGAGACATCAGCGTGCAGAGTCCTGTTCAACAGGGCCTTTTCCCTTCCATAAGCTGTTTGGACATAGTTTGAAAACCATGGTTCCATTCTCATACACATGTACCCACAAACATTGAGAAATCTGTGATCTGTACATTGAGGAATAACAGTGATTTTTTTTTTTTTAAGGCCTTTGGTTCCATGTAGTATTCAAGTTGCAGTGGGAAAGATAGTGAACAAAAACAAGTTCATAAAACTTGGTGTTGAGACTTTGGAACTTGATTTAGCAGTTCTTTTACTCTTAAAATGAGTTTGGACTGATGACCACTCCTTGTGGTCCCAGACATAAATGGCTCTTGATTTTTTCTGGACTCAGTTCTGACTTTTCCAAAATTCACTTGTGTTCATGTTAGCATGCAAGGTCTAGTTTCTTTTTGATTAGACCCGTAACAAGGCATGGAGTTCTAGTTCTAGTATAGGAAATTATTTTTCTTTTTTTTTTTGGATGGGGGGGTGCTGGTTGAGACAGGGTCTTACTATGAAAAGCTCAGGCTAGCCTGGAACTCAACAATCCTTCTCCAGAGTGCTGGAATTATAGGTGTGAGCCACCACAGTCAACTTAGTATACTGTTTTAGACTAGTAAGATCATGCCAGTATTTTTCCATCCCCGTTTCTCCCCTCACTACCTCCCTCCTGGTAGTAGGCATCAAATCTAACCTTGCTCATGCTAGGCAAGTACTCTGCCACTGAGTTACATTCTCAGCACAGGGCCACAGTTACTTCTAACTTGATTCTTGGTGTTTTGGTTGGTGAGAGGGTCCGTCACATGCATTCTGTGCTGTGGTAGTTCCGCCTATGCTCCCTTTGAACTTGGAATAAAATACAGTGAGTGTTCTGGTTTCCTTTTCCCTATCCAGCCCCTTCCACAAACTCTTGTACTACCCAGTGGACTCCACTCTAAGATGACTAAAAGTCTTTCCTTTCTCATCCTTTCTGTTATCCCTTGTTCTGTTTGTATGACTATATCACATCTTCCTAACCCATGTGGCCCACCCTGAATCTCAAGATGTTAACTCTACTTACAATGATGTGGTGGTCTCCCTAGGATAGTCAAGTAATATTCAAAGTAGATGCTCTGTTTTAAAACTGAGGAGTTAAAAAACAGATGCTCCTTGCCGGTCTAAAGGTGCCTAAGATCAGATTATTCTAACACGTATTTTCATTGCTTCATGCTGCTTACTAAACCTGAATCCATGTGAACCTGTCACTTAATGTCATGCTGTTCTGCTCCCCTTTCTCAGAAGTAACCTATTTGAATGTCTATTTTAATGCTACCTGCACTGTCCTGGAGTAAGAGTTAATTTTAAATGCTTTCAATAGAGATTCACTAGAGGACTTACCTAGCATCTAGAGTTGTGATAATTCTAGTATATGTATTTGCTTTTTCACTACAGTCTCAACAAGGATCAAATTGGTTTTGTTTTTATTAGAACAAATTCAGATAGCATTGGAGGTTTATTTTGATGTGCTGTTTTGGACGTAGGACTGCCTTGGAACTTGGGTGGAAGTGGTGTTCATATAGATAGATGGTATTGCTTTGAATAATTTGTAATGTCCTTTCTAGCTCTGTCATTTTCTGACAGTCTTGCCCTATAAAATATTACTTCCTATTTTTTTCACATAGAAAAATTATAGTGTTATACAACCTTCCTTTAGGTCCATATCTTTTTTTGTCAGGAGTCTACCATGGTAGATACTATGACCGTTGATCAAGGCGTTAGAATATTTGTGGCACTTTTCTAGAATGCAAAGCGTCATTTACTTGCTAAAGAAAAATTCATTAAACTAGGAACGTGTAAGAAATAATTTCTAAACCATAGCTTACTTTTCACTGCCCAATTTCTGTCTGTTGTAGTCTGCTTAAAATAAAGGCAGGAGCCCCATCCCTTCTCTGTGCTTTTGTTCCAGCTTGTAGCAAGAGTCACTTTACTACAATTACACATCCCCGGTATAATTATGAGCTCTATAGTAGTAAACTTGATAGTCGGGGAACTATCTTAAGTATTATGTAATTAAATTTTGTTTTCTCTTAAGGAAAAAATTCTGATACTAGTTAATGTCTTACCCATAGTGTGTTATCAAGTGTTTTTTGAAGCAGAAAGGAAAAATCAGCAAAATACTTAAAAAATCTGCCTGTTTTTGTATATTTCTGACAATTTCAGATAATTTTATATTTGTATTCCACGATAGCTAATAGCCTGTCATCCTTCTTTCCACTGATTCTTTCCTAATTAATATATAATGAAGACATTTAGAGATAAGTTAATTTTGTGAGCAAATATGTTCTTAGAGTGTGTTATTTTCCTTTATTTTCTCTGTGGTAGTACTGTCATGCTGTGTGCTGCAATTTATATGAGGACAATCAGACTTAGTTAAGAAATGTACAAAATAAGCCAGGTGTGGTAGCTTATCCCTATAATCCCAGCACGTGGGAAAGCTGAAGTAGAAGGATCACAAGTTCAAGGCCAGCCTGGATTACATAGTGAGACCCTGACTCAGAAAACAAACAGCAAACAAAAATGTCCAAAATAACTATAAAATGGACAAAAGTGGGAAAAAATGATTCCTGATAGTTAAATGGCCATGATAAATGTCATGAGGTAATAGCATATTGCCAGCCCTAGAGGTAATAGGTTATGCACCTTCAGGAGGTATAAATAAAATGAGCAAGGGTAAAGGTAAGAACAGGGCAAAGGTGTGTGTGAATAGACCAGGCCTGTTTGCTAGGAATATAGAACATAAATTTGAGAGTTTGCTAGGGAACAGGCTGGAAAAGGAGGTTGGCATCAGATTGTAGAGAGCCTTATTAATTCCAGGCTAAAGAGTTTAGCTTATTTCTGGCAGGCATTGTGATGATGCTGAAAAAAATCTAAGGGAGAAGTGTATATGATGCTATAGAAGATTATTTTAACAGTGCTGTAATTACAGAGAAAGTAAGACAGAGACTTGTACTGGGGATTGAACTCAGGGCCTCAAGCACTCTGCCACTTGAGCTATACCCCCAGTCTGAGAGACTCTTACATCTTACTATAGTATAGGTAAGATTTTTAAAGGCCTTCCCAGTGCAGTCATTGTGCTAGAAACTGAGGTATAACAACATAGCTATGATGTAATGCCTATAACTTGGGATCATGTAGTCTATAATGGAAAGTCATAAATGGTTAAATAGATAATTCTAATACAATGTAGTAAATTATCATGACAGGTTGATATAAAAACAGATGACCATGGAAATAGAGGTATTCAGGGGGTTGGGAAGTCAAGTCTGATTCCAAAAAAGGATTGACATCTGAACTGTCCTGAAGGAGGAAATAGCAAAACTCCCAAATTAAAAGCATTTCTTCCCAATGTGGTCAGCATTAACTACATTGTCTTAATATGTTCTACAAAAATATAACGTGCTTAAAATTCTCATTTATTTTAAAACAATAGATTTAAAATACTTAAATTGTCTTAAATTCTTAGCTAGACATGTTTTAAATTCTTAGACATACTTTCCCATCTTTGCTGAATTAATTTTTTTTTCATTGTCTCTGGGTGCTTCCTTGAATTCTTAATGAACTTTGTGTTTATCTTTCCTTTGATCTTCACTGAAGAAATTAGAAGAGGCCAAGAAGTAGGATAAAGGGCCTTACAGTAAGACAGGAAGAACAGACTGAAAAAAAAATACAGACATTGGTTATATAGCAGTGATGAAAGAGAAGTTTCTGCTGCCACGTAAATATCCAGCATACAATTGCAAATACAGAATTCAAGTTCCAAAGAGATTTATATTAGAAGGATTTGGACATGATTTAAGATGGTATTAGGCAGGCTGGAGGAATAATGAGTGTGAGGTAGAACATGGGGGCAGGGAAAAGAAGGCTGAAGAAACAGGAGTACAGGATGGAAAAGTAGCGGACAAATAGGGCAGCCTATATTAATTAGTCATTGTTGTGATTTTTGGTTTTTTTATTTGTTTTTTTCCTGGCCCAGATGGATAGCTCCCAGTTGATCCACTGTCGGGAGCTGGTGGCACATCACCTTTCTACTCTGCAGTCTTCCCTGCCTCTAAATTCCGTTTATGTCTACCGTCCCCTCAAGCACACCCTGGTGACCTGTGACAAAGGAGTGTTCAGATTACATCCCTCCTCTGTCTCAGGCCCAGATTTCGCCAAGGACAACAGCAAGCCAGAAGTGCTAGTCAAAGGTACTACCTTCTACCATCATCTCCCAGCTGCCAGTGGGTGCAAGCACACCTGTGCTAAACGCAAAGTAGAGGAAATGGAAGTAGATGACTTCTATGATGGAATCAAACGGCTCTATAATGAAGAGAATGCTTCAGAAAATGTGGGTTCTGTGTGTGGCACTGATTTGTCAAGACAAGAGGGACATGCTTCCCCTTGTCCACCTCTCCAGCCTGTATCTGTCATGTAGTTTTCAACAAGTGTTAACCATCCAGTGCAAGCTAAGGTTGACTGCTCTGAGAATGAGAACATACAAAACCAGAAAAGGCTATAGAGGAATATACACTTTATCAGGCTGATTTGAAGTGAGCCAGTGAGAAAAAACAAAAAACCCCTATTCATTTGGTGGCTAGTTATAACTCAACATTATTTAATTTAAAGATATATATAAAACCAAAAGATCCAAAATATTTTTCAAAAAAATTTTTGTAGCCTATCAGTTCCATTCTTTTTTCTGCTAAAATGTAACTTGCCCCGTCAAAAATTCATAAAGTTCCAAAATTCGTTATCAAACTTTGTTCCCAGAGTCCTGATTTAACTTTCTGTTGCTTTTGCTTGCTTCTCCAGTGAATACTTAATGAATTTTATGCATGTTGATCTGTATACTCTGACTTCCACTGAATAGTTAACCCCAGAAATTTTATTTTAGTGAGACAGCCATGTAATCTATGATTCAAGTTCCATTAGTCTGAAAAGAATACTTTGGAATTGTCCTAGGTGAATCAGAGGTGGTAATGGAAAAAGTTCTCATTTACCAGATTGATTTTTGTCTCATTTTTTTTAGACTAAATACAAAATTAGTTTTCATTTTTGTTTAAAGATGATATGTAATTAGGACACTTACATTTGTTGAAAGGATTTTTGACATTTGTATAAAAGAATTTGTGATAAAGTTAATATATCCAGGTGCTCACCAAAGAAACATGTATGTAACATATAATTAGAATTTTGTAACTGATGTTTTCACTCATTTTTAATCAGTAGGAGAGACTGTCTAGATATGGGCAGCTCCATGATTTGAGTATATAATACTTAATAACTGAACTCAGCACCCTAGTTTTATGTTATGCTATTAGGATTTTCTTGATAAAAGTTATTCCCCTTGTCTCCAACCCTACCCATATTTCTCTTCATGACTTCTGGATCTTGAGCCCCCTTTGCAGTCTGAAGAAGGTATTATAGTCAGAACTATGTACTGGTGATAAAAAAGCCTCTGGTAGCAATAAAAGGTTGTCCTTAATCTTTTTGTCTAATTTTTATTTTTCTATTTGTGGAGAGATACAGTTTCCTGATTGTCATTTCAACTAAGGAAAATAATAGAAAGTCTAAGAATATGCTAACTAAAAAAATGTGACTGAAGGATGTAGGTTCTAGACAGAAGGGATTCCCTTTATAGCATTTTCTCACTTGGTGGGCTTACAGATCTGTAAACAAATTCTCACCTTTTTTTTCTTTTTCTGGCGGTACTGGGTTTTGAACTCAGGGCCTCATGCTTGCTAGGCAAGAACTCATTACTTAAGCCACTCCACCAGCCCCAACAAAATCTCATCTTAATGGGACTGTGAGGGTAGGCTCAGACCTGTATCCAGGTAATGTCATTTTTAGCCCACTGATTGTGTTCAAACTTAGCAGAGCAAGAGTATTCTCAGGTCAGCATTTGACCTGTGGAAATTCTTGTAAATGGGGTGACTACCTGTTTTATGACCTTGAAGTCAAGTAAATAGAGTGGGGGGAGAGGTAAAGAATGAAAGGAACTGTTTGCATAGATAGCAAGGGATTGGCTTTAGAGATCCATATTTTTTAAAATCCCGTATCCTGATTTTCACCTGACTTCATTTCTTACTTTAGGAGCATTAAGAATTATAGGAAGTTTACAACATTCCCCACCCCTCCTCCACAAAACACACACACTTCACTGATGAGGACATAGTATGTTTGAAAGCTAGGGATAAAATTGAGTCTAGAGCCAGAATATTTAATTCGTAATCCAGTAGTTACAAACTGATCATCTGCTTGATCTTAAAGTTTTCTAATGTTAAAGGAAAGTTAAGCCCATGCTAAAGTGTACCTATAGTCCTGCTACCCAGGAGGCTAAGGCTAGAGGATCACTTGGGCCCAGGGGTTCAAATCCAGCCTGAATGACATAAACATTTCAAAAAAAGTAGATGGCAAATCAATTTGGAACACTGTTTTCATAGGACACTGAATCGGGTGGATGATGCTTACTTAGACTGCTACCTGACCTGCCTCAAAACTCATGTAACTTATATTCCAAGTCTCGTAGCACTTGACACATGCCCTTCTTGGGTTCCCATTTAGTACCTCCTTCCTTGGCACACTTGTAGATACCTCATGCCTCTTCCTTGTGACTTACTGTGGTCTCAGAATTTTGGCTTGAGACACAAATAGCAGATACTAAATAATGTAGAACTGTTCATTAAAGATAATCCTACTGGGTCCCAGAAGCTGTGGCTCAAAGAGTAGAGCATCTGCCTAGCCAGTGTGAGCCCTCAGTTCAAGCCCCAGTAGCACCAAATATATTTATTATACACTCTTGGTATTTGGGCTAAAACTTCTTAGCCTGCCCCAAATTATTTGGGTTAAATCTTGCTATCATAAACTCTTAAGATTGAGACTGGAGCTTTATGTATTGTTTGGTGCCTCCTAGTTGTTGAGACCTATCATTCCCCAGAAAGGCAAGAGAATAAATTTAGTAGGCATATTTATCCTCTAATCCAAAAGAGACATGGATGTAGTCCTAGGAGAAGCTATGGCCTTTGTTCTCTGATACCAAGTTGGTTACCTGTGGAGAACTGAAATGTTTTCTCCACACACACGATTGTCTTAGTGTGGCTGGAGAGCTGGGAAGTGGTGCTCCCAAACACCAATAAAGGGTTGGATATAACGGATTTAGTAGGAATGTGCCTTTGGCTCTGAGGAATAGTTTTTTACTCACCCAAACTGGCGATAACGTGCTTCGTTCTAAGAAGCACTATTTCCATGTTAGCGTCAGCCACTTTATGTATTCTGTACATACCCGTGTTGTCAAGCTTCCCAATTTATTCACTCCCGAGTCCCTGAAGCAAGGTTTGAGCACTTACTGCCCAAAGCTAAGGTACTGATGCTCAGCCAGCATGGTGGAGAGCCTAACCATCCTTAAAGTAGCTTGTGCATTCTCAACTGGAAAGGGAAGACCCTGTGTCAAATGTCCCCCCCATCATTCTGAGAGAAGCATCTACAGTTTACATTAGCAAGTTGAGGGTGAGTTGTTCAAAGCCATATAGCTAACAATTTTGAGCAAAGTTCAACTTCTAAGTCATCTCAAACCTTTATTGTACCTAACATGAAGTTTTGTTACCTCTAGGCCTCCAAAATTCTTGACATTGGTGTCTCAACCATGTTCATAAGAGACTCTCCTACAGCCATTTAAAAAAAAAAAAAAAGTTTTGAGCTTTGGCCACTAGATGGTGCTTCCAGGAAAAGACTAAAAACTTTTTTAATTCCTGGAAGAAACTGAGACATTTGGGCTTACTATGTGATTAGGAGCAGTTGGACATCCATCTTGTTATTAAGCCCCAATACAGCATCATCTTTTGTGGCTACAACTTCAAATCACTGAAGATACTGGTGGCCTGTGTATGTGAGACTGGGAGAATTTTAGCAAAATTGCTCATGGGAAGGGGCAGGCTGTGGCTAGATGCCAAGTCTCAGCCCCCCCACCCAAAAAAAGTCCAGCCATTTTACACATTAGCAACCTAATTTGTGAGTTGTGTGCAGTCCTATAAAGTAGCTTAGGAACACAGTTGAGAAGGCATGAAAACAGCCAATCACTAGGACAGAAAAGATGAAGCACACAGCCTGCCTTTTAGCACAGCTTCCATCAAGGAACTCAAACTGAATGCTCTTTCTCTCCAGATGGATGAGTTTAGTGGGTTTTGGATTTATTAATGTGTTAAGACCCAGGTGTGGGACTGAGACATAACTCCCCCTTGTGCCATATCTCAGTCACCAAGAATGTCTTATCAGCTATAGGAACGAGCTCACAACCCTAGTTTTTTTCTGAGTTAAGGGTGAAATGAGAACTCTCCCTTATCTTGTAACCTTCATAGCATATCAAATACCAGAACTATTGTATTAACACACAACAGTTAAGGCAGTAAAAGAAAAAAAAAATGAATAGCTCTAGGCGTGGTGAATTGATTTCCCAGTTCCTGGAAACAGTTCAGAACAACCAGGAAATGTGATTGGTGCTGAATGGGACACTTTCACTATTCAGAAATGACCTACCTTCAGTGGACAAGTTAGCATAGAAAGGGCTTACCTTTTCCTTTACTCTAAAAATCTCCTGTGCAAATAATAGTGTGCTTAATCCCCAGTGTAGGCTTGGTGCATTATACACAGTAAAATAACATTTGGAAAGGTGGGGTTAGAAGCAAAGAGAGCTATATCTGCACCTCTCAGATTTTTGTAAAAGCATTGTGCAGAAAATGCACAATGGAATTTTTATGGAATACTACTCCACTCTCCCTTACACACACATGCTCATTTGTTCTTTTGTGGGACAGCAGCCAACCTCATTATAATAGCCTCTGCTTCTCCTCATCTTACTGCCACAATTTTGGAAGTTTCCAGTAGACTGAAAGACTGTTAAGCTCATGGCACTGCAAATGATTTAATGCAGATGTGGAATCTTTTGTACCTCACACGATGTTCTGCTAACAACCAGAAGGACTACACTTATATACAGCTACAGCTACTCATAGGGGAGAGCAAGGCTGAAGAGGGAAGTGAATGGATACGGAGCTCACAGTTCTCTCATGTTAACACACGTTCAACCCCTTCACCAGTCCTGGGTATTGAGTTTCTTGATCTGAAAGCTAGATGGCTCACACCAGCAATTCTGCTATTGGGGAGGCAGAGATCAGGTAGACCACAGCTCGAGGCCAGTCAGGCAAAAAGTTCTTGAAATCCCATCTCAACCAATGAAAAGCTGGACATGGTGATGCACGTGGTAAGTGTAAATAGGATTGCAATTCAGGCCCAGAAAACCCTATTCGGAAAAATAACTAAAGCAAAAAAGGCTGAGGGCATAGCTCAAATGACAGAGCATCTGCCTAGCAAGCCCAAGGCCCCATTAATCTTCAGGATGGAAGGGTAAGGAAGTCTTCTCCAAAGGTCTGACCAGTCAGAATTAGGTGCTTAGCCGCTTGGACATCCAGTACGGTCTGTGCCAGTGGTAGACAAAAACCTTGATTAAGGAAGTTTGCTAAGATGTGTACTGTTGATTGCTCAAGTGTATTGGCATGAAGACCTGTTTTCATTTGTTCCAGCACTTTGGTTCAGAAGGTTGAATCTCTCCTTCATATGCTAATCTCAGAGAGACCACTAGACTACACTTGTAGAAGGCAGATCCTGTATCTGAAATCAAATAATATTCTCTTAAGATTGAATGACACATAAAAAGAATGTTGTCAGCAGAAACAGGTTCTGATGGCTCACTTCTCTCTGCTTTTCAACACTCTAGCTTGAGATAAACCAGTAACTCGTTACCACTGATAATCATTTTAGCTGGTAAGCCAGGAGAACTCAAACCTACCAGCTTTGTGAACACTCAGGAAAAGGAACCACCTGAGGTACGATGCCAGATCAATGGCACTCTGTCTTAGAAGTGAGATGGCAGAGCACTAGCCAGTGGTGTCCACAGCCAGCTTCCCTGAGAGCTCTGATCCCCATGGCAGTTTAATCAGAAAAGGGAACAGCAACATCAAACCACACATTTAGAAAAAATAGTACCCTTGCTGGTGCCGGTGACTCACACCTGTAATCCTAGCTACTCAGGAGGCAGAGATCAGGAGAATCATGTTTCCAAGCCAGCCCAGGCAAATAGTTCCACAAAACCCTGTCTCAAAAAACCCTTCACAAAAATAGGGCTGGTGGAGTGGCTCAAGGTGAAGGACGTGAGTTCAAGCCCCAGTACCGCCAAAAAAAAGAAAGAAAAAAATAGTACCTTAATTCGACTTTCAAATATTGCTCAAAAAAAGTTACAATCTAAGCCATTTTTAAAATGATAGTATAAAACTTATATTTAAATACTTAAAATAGTTTAAGAATAAAGCCAATTATACTTAGCGATTATTACAGTGTTTTTTCTAATACCTACAAAGTTTAACTTATAAGACTGATAATGTGTCATTCTGGCATCAGAGTTGCTATCCCATCCACCATGGTCACACCACTAGATTCCATCCTTACAGATTACAGTGCGGTGTGAGGGGATGACTTGACTCATGTTTTGATCATTTAATGGCTCAGATGAGTCTGACTTTATACGTTTAGTAATAGCTTCGGTCTAGAAAAAGAAAGCTGTTTGCCAACATGCTCATCCAGTTGCTGTAAACAGCCTCTTTCTAGGAGTCAAAGCAGCAGGGACTACTGCTTCATCACTTCACTACCCAGCCAAAGCATGGATTCCCTTTCATATAGAGAGGATCACTCCTGGGGCTCTTGGCCAGTGGGAAGTCATGCCAACAATAGTGACGTTTATGATCTATCAACTGTGGGGCTGCAAATAAGCAAAGCTACAGACAAGTAATAAACTTGGAAGGTAACGTAAATGTATGGCTATGCTCTGCAACAGATGACTTTGAGTGAAAACTGCTAGAGAAGGGGCTGTTTAAGTAATGACTCATCACCAACAGGTCAGCATTGGAAACCATCAGCTCACTCAACTGACAGAAGTGTGGATTTGGGTGTGGGTATATTTTAAGTAATCCCATTGGAATAATTCTATTCCCAGATGGGTTTCAGCAGACATTGTGGAGAAAGCCACCTGGGCCACTCTGAGACTATGTGAATCAGAACCACCATTAATATACTGCTGTCTGAGACGGATATGTACTGTTTTGGGGTACATTTCCCATGGCTAAGACGTGGATCCTGGCTTAAAAAACAAACATGAACATAAAGTAAAGCAGAGCTGCACAAAGAAAAAGGCAGGATGGGCCAAGAAAGTTATTTGAAGATGTCTTTAAACATAAATCCAGCCCCAGAGGCAGAAAAGTCATCTACCCAACACACTTTAAACATGATTAAGACTTGTGGGTCAAACCCCTAGAAACAAAAATGGGAATTTTAAAATTGTACCTAAGACAAGGAAAGCATATTAAACAGTTTTGTGACTTAAAATTCATTCATACTTCCTCTTGAAATGAGCTTTAAACTGGCATAATTTTGATACCCAAAGTAAGTTTGAATATCCAAAACAAAAAGCAGAACTGTCTACCTGGAATTTTTCCTCCCCAAACAGAATCCCAATCCCAAAATAACTTATATAAAGGATGCAGGTAACAGAAAAAGAGTAGAATGAAACAAAGGTTCTGAATTTAAAGGAAGGACGCCCACTTCTCTCTCAAGAGGCAGATGATCAGCTGAGTAAAAACGTTGCATCAATAGGACACTCCAAAAGAAAAAAAAAACTGCAGCCATCTCTGTTCATGCAGTATCAAATGTCAAAAAAGAAAAATCCAAAACGCCAAAACCACCCACAAAACTAACAGAAGGAAGGAAAGCGTTGCCCGGGTCTTAGGACCTGATGGTGGCTGGGGATCCTGGTGGGGCTGTTCAGAGAGGCCAGGAGCTACCAGGAGTCAAGTTTGCCCTGGGGGTGGTGGCCACCTCAGATGGGGGACATGCTCTCTTCTGTCCACAAGTTCTTGGACCAGCAGTTTCAAGAACATGACAGCTAAGCCAAGAGGATTCCAGCACCAGACTTGGGTTTGGGTGCAAGTTCTGTTTTACTGAAATTCCCTTTTCCTTGTAATTAATATTATTCAGTATTACTATTTGTGGTAGTGAAGTCATTTCTGTAGCCACTATGAGCAGTGGTTTGTAACAGACATTGACAATACAGACAGTAGTGCAGTATTTGACCCAGACTTTAAAGGAACGGGAGGCAGTGGTGGAAATGAGGTAACTCTTCCCCAACACGCGTGGACAGACAGCTCCTGCTCTTCTAATGCTCTATGTCCATTAGGAGAGAGTAGGGCTTGTCAACAGGATGGTTACATAAAGAAGAAGCTACAGAAGAGAAAAAAGAAAAGTTCAGATTCAAATTCGGTTCTTTAAGCCTTTAAAAAAAAAAAAGCGTTTCTCTACAAGCTGTGAAAGAACAGCAGTGTATCAGTTAAAAGGATGTCACCAAGCACAGCTGGAGGGGTGCAGCAGCAGGGTGGGCACCACAGGCCAGGGAAGAGGCACCGAGGCTCGTGGATCCATAGGGCAGGCAGGGACAGGAATGGGTGGAGGTGGCAGTGATGGTGTGGGGGGCTATAGGGCACCACAGGACAAGTGTTGGGGAGAAGCTGGAGCTGCCCAGACAGCAGTGCTGAAGTCTACCATACAAGGCAAGAAAGCAGGAGATACCGCCACCCCTATTTCTTTTACCCCATACAACAAGCACGTGTATGTACATACGCAAATCAAGCAATGACTGAAAAGAACTCACAAAAGTGCACACACACAATGTTTGGGTAAAAATATATTTCCCCTGCTTTATGTCTTGGCACTAGTGATATATGCATAGATTACCTGTTCACCACTCTCTACCATAACAGACACCAAATTACCCAGCAGGCTGCTGAGTGAGTACTTCCATACTTGAAGAAATGATATGCTTCACATCAATACAATTATCTTAGTTCATAAAAAAGACAACTGTCTAACATGCAGTTTACATTTATGACAATTCTGCATTAACACTGAAAGTAGATTACACAACAGTTTTAGAAAACACATCGGTTATTTTCAAACAGCAAAATGACAAGGTTCTACAACTACAGTTTAAGGCATATCAGCATATTTTAAAATCAAGAAATAGACAAAGTTCTAATGCTGTTCACAGCTTAAATTTCAGTTTATTTTTTAAAAATTCCCTTCATACCTACATACAAACTAAACTTTGTAGGTCATAATTCCCACTAAGAAGTCATCACATATGTGTCCTGCCAATGGAACCAGGACTTTTGAAAACTGAGACTTGACAATTCAGACACTTGCAAATGGCAAAGCCAAGGGATCTGAATGGACAGTTCTGGTAGGACCACATAGAGACAGTAGGACGTGAGTCAACATTTGTCTGTGAAACACCTATTCATATGTCAAGAAAATGAGGAAACAAGTCTATGTATTTGAGGTGCACAAGATATGAAGAGTAAGTGTTATTGCTGGTGAGTTGCAAAGCAAGGAAGGAAGAAAACAAGAAACTCATGCCCAGAGTTACATGAAACAACTCCCCTGGTTGAGAGGTGCCTTTTTGGACAAAACCTTGACCACTTGAGCCTGAGCTGGGAAAACATTCTCTGAAATGCCAACCAGTTCTCATATATGCTCCCCCATCACACCCTGCAGGACACAGAAGTATTGTGGGTATCTACTGTCTAGAAGATACAAAAAGATGGCCATTATGTCTGAACAAAAGACGTGAGGGAGGCCAGCCAGAGCTATCAAGAAAAAAAAAAAAAAAGTGACCACTGTGCAGTTAGCACCAGGGAAAGGCCATTAAAACTAAGATCTAAAAGATAAGTGATCGTAAAGGCGCCCTGGCATAAAAGTTTTTTCTCCTTGATCTTCTCCAGTGAAAGGTGGGAGTTTCTCATTCCAGCTTTATTTGCACTGTCAGTATCAAAGATTCTCTGGAATATCCAATGATATTCCAGAATATCTGGTGCTGTGCACCAGACTGGGATCAGTAATTTCTGTCTTCCACATTGAGATCAAGAAGTTGAAAAACATATAAATGTGGCCACTTTAGATATACTTAAGCTTTTTTTCTTTTAAAACCAATACTGCTCAAACCATGATCGCCCTACCCCCTCCAAAATAAAGAATGTATCCATCCCATTTGTTTTCTCTAATTTTAAAAAGCCAGAAAGATCTCAAAGGTTTGTTACTACTGTACTTACATGCAAAGGCGAAAGCACATCCAGTTAGATTTGAGGGTATCATTTATTCCGTGCAGAGCCAAGGACTACTGTGAAAAAAGGCATAGATACAGAAAGGAAAAGCAGCAATAACATACTCAACAGGGCTGGGGAGAAATGGGAGGAAAAAGGTTCAAAAGTAACACTTAAAAAAAAAAGCTCCTATGTGTTTCTTTTAGCTTTTTATTCCCTGACTCGACATTTGATTTATTTTGCTGTGGAAAAAAAAAAAAAATCAGTAACCTTGGCATCAAAAAGTCATAAGATGCTTTTAGTTGCTAAGCTCAGCTGTTTTGGTTTTTTTTTTTTTTTTTAAAGACTTTAGGGATGCAAGAAATAGAATGTAAGAGTGTACTTTCTATCACAAGGCACAAAAATGCTCACACAAGCAGTGGCTGGAACAGGCACACAACACAATACTCAAGCTTTTGTGTGATGCCCCGCGCAGGCGCAAAGGCGGCCCATGTTAGCATCAGCATGCCTTCTAGCACTGGACAGCCCCACAGGTAGCTTCAGACTAGAAAAATGACAAAACGAAAGCAAGGACAGACATGTTGGTGTGGTGCTCCTTGATCTGTGAAGGCTGATTCCAGCTGCTTCAGCCTACGGTTTCTAGCCCAGCTTAGTTTGAGCCTCAGTGAACTGACTTCCCTACTTTGCCTAAGTCTCTTTTTTCCCTTCTTTCTCCCAACAGCATGACTAGGGATAAAGAGAAGGAAAAAAATTTTTTTCTTGGGATCAGATGGACTTAACTAACTTTTTTTGAAAAAAGTTTGCTGAGCAAGGGGAAGTGCAGCACATTCTATCCTGTTCGCCTATGGTGTAACTAGTGGTGGTCAGAAGGGAAATGCTCAGGTGAAGTAGTGGGTTCATGAAAATGTTATCCTGTCAAGTAAGAAATAGGAAATGACAGAACTAGAGAGAAAGCTGGGAGGATCTGGTTAGGAGGGGGACACCAAGCAGATGACATGATAAGCACCAGAAGAAAAAAATATGTCTTTCTGCACACAAACTAGGTAAGTCGGATGTGTCCTGGCACATGGGTCAGTGCTGACCCTGGATGAGGTGATGGGCCAGAGACAAAGAGCAGGGAAGCTAGTCACAGTGAGGGAACAGGTGAAGAAAGTTCCTTCAAGACAACCAGATTTGAAACACCAGCAAGGACTCTGGAAGTGAAGTTGAATTTCTACTTTCTTTTTAATTTCTACTTTCTTGATTCATGGGTTGTGCTGTATTCTTTCCCATTCTACCTTAAATTGATGAGGTCTTCTTAAATTTATGTTGATTACATAAAGTCTACAGCAAACTTTCTATTTGAAGTATTTGTGGCAATTTTTTCATGATTGACGAACACTTTTATTAGAAGTACCCATATCCTGGCATTAGTGAGAAGGCCCTGCCCCCTCCGCCCACTGAGAGCGAATGTACATGTGTTTATGAAAGATTCCTTACTGTATGCGGTTAAGTGGCTTGTGGAAGCCCAACACGCTTAGTGGAAGAGTCTTCTACTAAGCAATGTTTTCTGACTGATCCTTTGAGATCTTGATCTGACAGAGGGTCAAGGACAATGGTGGACACGAATGCAATCATTTTTTTTCTTGCACCAGTCCATGCTAACTGGGCCAAGCTTAAAAAGATGGTGTTCAGATGTAGTCTCAACCCTTAAGGGGAGACAGTGTGAACTAACCACAAGCTCAGGCCAAATAATGAGAGCAATTAAAATGAAAAACTCATACACACATAGAAGTCATCTGCTGTGCTTACCCACTGTTCTGCCTACATACAAATCTCCCTTGGTTTGAGGCAGGTGTGAAGGAGAAACAGTGAAATTCAGGGGCTGCAATCATGAAGATGAATAATCAAGAAAATGCAAGTTGTTGTCATGGCTATTCAGGGTTTTAGTTCAACTGCTGAGGCGGTGAGAAGTTTTCATGTCAGATGTACAGGAAGCACTTCGCCCCACTTTCCTTGGTCCAAAGCAACATACAAGTAACAGGCATGCTCCTGCTGCCATTCGAACAGGCATACAAGGCAAATCATTTACTTTCCAGAAACAAAGTCCAGCTGCACAGAGCATTTGCTGTTATTCCCTTGTTCTATCATTTTCCACCACCCAACAACATTCAGCAAAATGAGTTAAGAGTTATTGGTGTTTGGGGAAGGGCAAAACAATAAAATAAAACGAAAGGACACAGATGGCAGAAGTACACTACTGCTGCAAAAGCAGGTGAATGCGGGAACATCCTTGGCTTGCCAGGCTTTATGTGAAGCTTGCACTGCAAGTTAAAAAACAAAACAAAAAAGTTAGAAATAATAATAAATTAAAAAGAAAGGAAAATCAGCAGCGCGCCAGCACCGGCACTCGGTGATGGTGGATGCTCATGCAGTGGTTATGGAATTGACAGAAATTAAAACCAAAAATTTGAGGAGGCTATTCCACATGACAGGCAAAAGCAAAATTTAACATTAAATTAAAGAAACGTGGTTAGTTTTCATTTGCATGTTCTTTAGAATTCATGAGTGACTTCTTGAAACCACTGCCATGTTCCAGTGGAAGGACTGTTTGGCTTTTGTCTCTCAAATAACACAAAAGAATCATCTACTAAGTGTGGGTACCCCATTAGTGCCAATTAAGAGCTTCATCTTCCACTTCCGAGCTGCTGCAGGAGTCAGAGAATAAATATATAATGAAAGCCTTTGCAGAAATGACTTGAAGAAGAGGTCAAAAGGAGCTTGGGAATTGGGATATAGTGGGTGGAGGAGAACATGCTACTTGTCTAGTTGGGAAGGACAAAAAAAGAGAACAATTGTTACATGGTTATAGCTATAGCAATGCCAGGAGCTAGCTTTCCCCCTCTTTTAGGTACAAAGCAATGCCAAACCCAAGACCTACATGGCTAATTAGGCAAATCCAAAACATGCAACTTTATTCTTTAGCAAAAAAAAAAAAAAAAAAAAAAAGAAAGAAAAAGTCTTAAAAAAAGTGAGCAGATGGTTGCTTAAACTGAAGCTATTACACGGCAGTTTTAAAATGATGAATTTGAAAGCTTTCTTTTGAGATAGAAGGACCAAAGCCAGCAAATACCTGCTGACAGTGGTGCAAACTGTTTTCAGGGGAGATGAACACTGTCCGCCGAACGACTTACCCTCGGGCAGTATCACCACTGTGGTGCAGCCGCAAATGAGGAAAGTGACTTGGTGGCCATGGATGGCAGAAGGTGGGGTCCAGCTAATGGCAGGGCCAGGGTTAGTTCTACTTGGTCTGTAATCTTAGGAAATGTTATATAATCTCATGCCACTACAGGTCAAGGAGAAGTGTAAAGCCTTACCTACGTTAAAAAAGGAGCGTGTCATTAGAATAGAAAAAGAGAATTTAAAACTATTAGAAAAACTAAGTTAAACTTGGAGGTGGAAGCACAGCAGGTAAATAAAAAAGCATCCCTTTGTGAATTTTCTAGCTAGAACAAAGCCAGCTCCTAAGAGGCACCTGTGGTAACTCTGGCACCTGCTTCATCTACAAGAAGGAAGAAGTCTTCCAATTTCCGTTCAAGGTGCTGGTCTCGTTGCCCTGGTTATTGTCTTTCTGTGCTCCTCTCTAACCAAAAGCCTCCTGCCACTGGCAATAAGAAGGATGATGTGAGGTTTTTTTGTTTCGTTTGGTTTTGTTTTTAATCATTTACACTTCAGGACTCTAACTAGTCTTTGCTTTCACTATACATATGGAAGTATTGAGAAGGGTAAGAACCTTGAAGCTAACACAAAAAAATACGTGCCAGAGCAGAACCTGGTGACTATTGTGAACCAAATCTAATGCCATTAATAACAAATGAGAATATATAAATAAAGCTAAAATAGAATTCACACAGAATTCATGTAAACTTGAGAAGCACTATACATTGGTAAGGCCCAGGATGGGAAGGAAATAACCTAACATGTTCACAAGGGCAAAGACAAACCTCCCTGCACTGGAAAGTTGGTTACTAAACGGGTTTTTGTTTTTAATGGAGGCACAATACTAATCAGCTCTTGCAATTTTTATTGCTTAAAGGCACATCCAGTATACATGAAATATTCTTTTAACATTGCTGGTCTTCTATAAACATTTTTAATTTTAAAAGTTGTACCTTCATGTACTTCAGTGCTGCAGGTTAAGAAAACCTAGACTTTGGGTTGCCTAAGCTGTGAGTTAGCAGATTTTTCTCTTATATTCACACCTTCCCCTATTTTTACTCTAGGTTAGTTTGGATCAAGAACTCAACGCTGACTGGATTTCCTTGTCTTGGCAGGGAGAGGCTCCCTTATTGAATGGAGAATACGTCCACACAGAGCTACAAATCATTTTCTTGAACTGTGTTGTAATCTAGGCATTTGTTTCTCTCAGAATTAATCCAGCAGAGTCAGATTTGAAGCTTTTAGAGTCCTTTGGTCACTTGGGTCTGTACTGACCCAATTAAATCCCACCTTATTTACATGGACTACTTTCGTTACTGCTTACAAAGTGTCCTTGCTTCTCTGGGCTCAACACATTTTCTACTGTCTCAGAACTTGGACAGTCAAAGTGCATAAAGCATGATTTAATCTTCTCTCGGCCTGTTGCTGCAGCAGTGCATTTTGACCTTCACACTGGCAATGTCACAAGATTCTGTAAGAGTGAGCCTGCCACATGTTAAGTGGGCAGCAGCACTGGGCTCCTCCTTCTTACAACAGTTTCAAGTTCAGATTAAGCAGAGACTCAATCCTATCTGCTACATTTCTAAAAAATGTAATTCTCTTCCTGCTTGAGTACCAACATTTTTGTTCTGTCTCTTAGCCGGCCTCTTTTTTCCTAGCACTCTGGCATCTGAGAATGAAGATCAAGAATCTTGAAGCAAACTTCAAGTGCCATACTGCGCCAGGAGCAGGGCAGCTTCAACAGACAAGGAGGGTGGCAGCCGTGAACTCCTATGGGACCCTGCAAAGGTTTTCTCCACATGCCTCCTTATCACTATGCCTACATCACCTAACAGCTACTGTCATAAAACGTCATTCTCTACTCTTTACAGTGATTCAAAGGAGAGCTTCAAATCACAGGACGATTTCAAGGAAGCTCAAATCTCATACTGGGGTCAAACAACTGCTGTTGGAGTATCATAGGAAGTAACCACTCAAGAGCAGACTCTGACCCTTTGGCATATTAAATCAAGGCCATATTTAAACATGTTTTGTGAGTGGGTACAGGTGTGGCTGGAGGGTCAGCAGGAGTGAGTTGATTTGGTGGACATTTTGATCACATGTCACTATAAGACAATTCACCATCTTGCTGAAAGGAAACCATGGCCGCTCTTGCACATGCTACAGTTGGGAACAAGACTGCAATGACTGGCTCACCACACTTACATCACAGAGTAGGAAAACCATTTTAACAATATTGATTTTAGGGTGCTCTTTACCAAAAAAAAAAAAAAAAAAATCATGAGAATTATCTTCAGGGGCACTGAAGGGAAATACACCTGCCTTTTCTGAGAAGCTGCTGTGGGAGATGACAGGTTATTCCAGTCCTGATTGCTTCATCAACACGGTCAAGTTTTATAAATTAATCCTTGTGTACCCTTTAAAAATACTTTAAAAACCTTTATCACCTTCTCTATACTGTAGAAAAAATACTTGTTTTGTTTTTTTGTTAACAGACCAGTTTCCAGTCTGTAAGTAGGAAAAGTGGACATGCAAAAGGAATAAATTGTTAGAGGTCCCCAATAGAAGGGGTGACACCTGCTTACTTTTTCTTATCCTTGTCTTTCTTGGTTTGCTGGGCACCAGACTGCTGGGCCTGGGACTGGAGCAGCTGAGCTGCTGCTTTCTTCTTCTGGAAGTTGTTCACCTCCTCCTCAAGCTCCTTCTTCTTGTCTTCCACCTTCTTCTTTTCTTCTTGGTGTGTCCGCTTTAGGAGGTCAAACTTCTCGTGGAGCTAGACAGAAAATGAGGAGAAGATGCTTGGTGAAGTCCGTGAAAATCTTATGGAGGTAAGGCTATGTGCAACATACAAAACCAAAAGTTCTTCACATGGCTACACCTGCTTTAATCACAGGAGCCGTTTTGGTGGCTTGCTGGAGAAGGCTAAGATGCTGAGGAGCATTCCTCCAATTCCTAGGCTCTTTGTCACATCATCCCCTCGGGGCTGAAAATTCCTTGAACACTCTTTTTGATAATAAGATACACATCCATTCTTAAAAAGCACAAAGGAAATAAAAATGATCCATAATCCTAATAACTCTTTCCCTGAGTGCTGAAAGTGGTTCTTTACGTCTGGTCCTTTGTAGAGTGTGTGTGTGTGTGACACACATGGTGGTAGTGGGGGGGCTTTGACAAGTTGCATTTAAAAAAATCACAATCACAGGCCAAGAGTGTAGCTCACTCGTAAAGGACCAGCCTAGCAACTGTGACACCCTGGGGTTGATTCCCAGCACCAAAAAACAAACAAATAACAACAACAACAAAGAAAACCAAAGTAAAACAAAACAAATTTGCAATCAGAAACAAAAACAAGAACAAAGGAGGACATGCTTACTATAATTCTAAATTTTTATTCATCATCCACTTGATTCTCAAGGCCAATAGCAGATAAGGCTCAATTTTCCTTTCTGTGCAGCAAAACCATCTTGAGTGCTTAACTATGTAAATAACCTCCAAGCTTCAATAGTCTTTTTAAAATAAGTTAAAAGAAGATGAGAAAATTATTTGTCCTTTCATTTAGGAAAGTACTGAGCCATCGGTCAAGCACCAGAAACATTTATTATCTACCAGCAGGAACCAGTCATCTCTCTCCCTCTCCCTCTTTTTCCCTCCTCCTCCTAACTTTCTCTCTCTTAAATGTGGTAAGAGCTAGGTGTGGTGGTGCACACCTGTAATCTCAGCACTTCAGAGGCTAAGGCAGGAAGATTGCCAAGTTTGAAGCCAGCCTGGGCTACACAGCCAGATACTCTCTCAAATTAAAAAAATAAAATAAAATGGGAAGAGTACCATGGTAAAAATTGGTGCAAACCTCTGGGAAGCAGTTTGGCCAGGGGATAGATGGGGACACCAAGGTAGGTTTAGAGGGATGCTGGAAAGGGAGAAGCCAGAGCACAGGCATGGAACACCAGTTGCACTTCAGGCCACCGCTCACAATACAATGCCAAAGGGCTCTCTGCTATTGAGCTCACTGAATTGGCTGAGAAACTAAGATGATAATAATAGTCCCAGAATCTCAAATCTCACATTTCAAGACTCATAACTTGAGCAGCAAAGAACATATGATCAGGTCTTGGTTTTGCTGCTAACTAGGTAGGTGACAGCCAAAAATCAGTCTACGTTTATGCCTCTCAGTTTACCATCTATAAAGTGGGGACAAGAATATCTGGCCCAGTCTTTCTGTCAGGTTGGTATGCCACTCTTATGATAAAAGGCATATAAAAGCAGTATGAAATCCTATAAAATGTGAAGTATTATAAAATAACTGTTTTGGTTCCTCTTTCTTGGAGGACAGATGGCTTACCTCTTTCTCTGCCTCTTTAAGTTCAGCCTCTTTCTCCTTCACTCTCATAACAAACATTTGTCTCATTTCTTCTTCTTTCTTCTGAAGTTCTCCTAGGAATTCATTCCTCTTGGCTTCATATGTCTCCTGAAGACTATTCAAAATCCACAAATCAAAACTAGGGTCATGAAATTGCCTAAAAAATTTCAGTTGATACCATTTCTACACCTCTACTTCCAAAAAACAGATAAAGCTGCTGTTTATCATACCAAAGCTCAAATAAGATCACAGTTTTACTTATTTTTATTTCTGTTGCAAGCATTAAGAACCAGTAATTAGTCAATAAGCACAATGCAGTCCTAAAGAGATATCAGTAGCTGGCCAAGTTTTATCTTATGTACACTCACACAGGGAAAACCTAAACTGAAGACACAATTCGTGTTGTTAGAAGATGGCCTCGTATAGGGGTTGAAATAACAGACACTAGATCAAGTCAGAGCATGGTTGGAATTCTGGCCCCACTGACTGACTAATCTTGGGAAAGGTGTGACCTCTGACGTATGAGATGCAGATACGGTACCACTTACCTTTCATGAAAGTGATTATGAGACTTAAATGTGGGAAAAGTGAGCAAAGCATTTGACATATAATTAGTGCTTAATACATGCTCCCCTTCCTCCTCTCATCTCATTCCAGCCCCCAATCTGAAAAACAGACTCAATGAACAAACTAAAGACAAGAGCACTTTTAGAGGTAGAACAGAAAACTGCCACTTTTCAAGTTACATTACCAATTCTAAATAGTGCAGGGAGGAGTTTTATTTTCATTCAAAACCCCATCCTCTTCCTGTCTACAGAACACAAGAGCCTAACATTTTACATTAAATGTCATGACTCAGCTTTATCTCTAAGTAAGAACCGTTGCTAACACAACTGAAGGAAACAGCCACTCCCCACATACACATTTTCTTAAGGTGCTATCTGTTTCTCTTTTGCAGCCCCTAAAACAACAGTCGTATAGAGACACAGGTCTGCAGTACTATCTACCTTTTTTACCCATGGACCAAACTCATTCCGGGTCAGACTACAAACTAGAAAGCCACTGGAGATGCTCCAAGGCACCCTGCAGAGCCACTCACCACAGTTACACCTGTCCACTAAGGCAGGAAAGAGGAAATTCCAGTGGGGAGAGCACAAGTGCATGAAGACACACACACATCTATAATGAACTGGACGATTACGTTGGGATTAGAGAATGTGTCAGGACGGTTATAGTTCTACCATTAATTTATGAGAAATCACCTCTGTGCCCTCAGCACAGGAACAAGCTGACATATTTAGCTTTCACATTATCTTATGAGACAAAAGCAAGTCAGGCAATTTTAGTTGGCTAATATTAATAGCAATATTTGGACTTCAAATTTAAAAGATAGCTACTGAGATACAGAACTGTGTTGACAATAGAACTATAAAATAATTCATGAATTTGTCAGCTTGTAATAAACTTTTTTTTTTTTTTTGGTGGGACTAGGGTTTAAACCCAGTGCAAAGCATTTGCAAAGCAGGCACTCTACCACTTGAGCTACACCTTCAGCCCTCTTTTCTCTAGTTATTTTGGAGATGGGGTCTTGAGAACTATTTGCCCAGGCTGGCCTCAAACTTGATCCTCCTGATCTGTCTTCCAAGTATCTAGGACTACAGGTATGAGTCACCAGTACCCAGCTGTTGCAATAAACACTTTATCACTATTATTTGTGTCATAATTGCCAGAGGAAGAGGATGACTGCTGTGAAATTGTACAGAAAACTCAGTTTCTGTTTATTTTAGTATAATGAATGGACTGTTCTCTTCTAACAAGCAATGGAACATCTTTTATAGAAAAAATAACCAACGTGTTCCAGAGGTCACTACCTAGTTTCAAAAGAGGCTCTCTCAAAAAGGGTTACCAAAGTCAAAAGAGAAGGAGAAAATGCTTGAGTGTTCTCCCTTTAGGGGATTCAGAGTGTGTAGTGGATTCCAGTCGTGGCAGCACATCAGGATCACGGGGCACGTCTTAGTTACTTTTCTAAATACAGATCCCTACACCCACTCTCGGAGATGCACATTCAGAATGTCTGGCTATAGTCAAGTCTGTTTTGAAATGCTTGCCAGGTGGTTACGTGCTAAGCTCCACTACTCTTAAATGCTGAGAATCCCTTCTATACAATAACCTATTCAACATGATTTACAGATCATTTACAGTTCCTCAGATTTGTTTACCATGGAAACCTTCTGAAGTAATTCATGGATAGACTGCACTTTTGGGTAATGACAGCCTAAATACTGAGAACGTTCAAGATGACTGCCTTATCTGGCCCCAACCACACCCTGATTTATGCTCCAGTTTTGGGAGATATATTTTTAAACTATGAAACACAACCATGGGTCTTAACCAATATGTTGAAAGAAAAAGTTTAAGAGACCAGGATTAAAAAAAAAATTTCAGAGTGCAGTACAAACAAGAAGAGTTGTCATATGGCATGAAATGTGCACAGTGGACCATGGAGGAAAACGTTTTTGCATACCGTAGTTCCATCTCAAAACCAGCATGCCCCCGTCCTACAGAAAGCCTAGGGAGCAGCTTTGCCATTGGCTAGCCTGGCCTTGGCTACAGGTCTGGTGGTAGTTTAGGCATCTGGGCCAGAACAAGAAAATGGACTAAACAAATGCTGCTTCTTAGTTATGTCGTCGTATTCCAGGAAGTGAGCCAGCTTTTGAATTCTAACATGGGGAATGATAATCATAGCAACAAATGAGAAAGATACCCTAAAACCTTACCCAAGGAATTAAAATTACCCTAAGTTACTCACAAACAATTAGGATAACCAAAATGTCCACATCATACTCCCTAGGCATCTCTGCCAACTGAGCTGTAAACCAGAAATACCAGATACCTCATGCATGTTTCCAAGCATCAAACTCCAGCTCAGAATAAAGTGGGTTTATATTATCCACTCACATTTGCAAGTTTAGTTCTTCAAACTTAATTTGTGTTTGTTTGTTTGTTTGCTTGGTGGTACTGGGAGTTGACCTCAAGGCCTTGTGCTTGACAGGTACCACTTGGCGCCGCCACTCCACCATCCCCAATCTTAATTTTTAATTACAGTTATTAACACCCTTTTCTAAATGAGAAATCTGCAATTGTTTCACAAGGTTTTAGGATGTTCTGAAATTGCTGATCTTATCTTCTAACTTTCTCTTTAGCAGCCCAGGGAAGAGAAAGGCTTTGCTTGTGCACACCAAGGGAAGGGAGAATGAACACAGACACTTTGGTTCACCTTAATTTTGGTAACTCAAACAGTCTAATTCTCTGTTTGAATCTTCTGGAACTATTTAGTGGAGGACATGCCAGAGTATGGTCATCACCACCAGGATTTTTATGGAGTAATTTATACATGCGGATTCACTGAATTCTCACAACAACCAACTAAGTAAGGTAGGCATCTACCTCTCCCTTTTTATAGATGGAGAACTGTGGGCACATGGATAGTTATTTGCCCAGGTCACATCATGAAGTGACTGAACCAGGACTGAACCTAGGCTGCCTAGCTCAGATGGGAGAGCATGGCTGGTGAACCGAGGCCTGGACACTCTAGACACAAATGGGTTTCTCAGGTCTGAGAATTTTCTATCCTTCAGAGAATGGTGGTAACCAAGCACTTTCTGTGAGCTGACTGGTGGTGAGTCAGGAGAATATGGCATTTTGAGAGGAGGAAGGAACAGTTTGGGCAGGGACTATTGTAAAAAGGGCAATGGCATTTCAAGAGAAAAATAGCTCAGGGAAACACCATCAGTCCCCTCATTCCCTTTGGTGGCCCACAACTCCACTCCTCATTTAACCTTTAAAATGCCACCCAGAAAGGGACAGGGAGAAAAAAAGAAGTGGGTCTAGGGAAGGAGCAGGTACTCTGGTGGGTGGAAGCAAGTTCTATGGCCACAGGCCAACAGGTGGGCATGTCCAGGACCAGGTGGGAAAGATGGACACAGGAAAACCAGGCTGATGCCTGGACTTCTATGTATGCTGCCAGAAGACAATAGAGACAGAGCTCCAAGTTCAGACAGGTTCAAGGACAACCCCAGGGCCACACTCCATTATTACTACCCACGGTGTGCTTGCAGGGCTTGAACTTGCCTGGCCCTGTGCAGTCCTGTCCCCCATTTTCTCTCACCATGCAACATATAGAGGTGATAGTTGTCCTAGAGCTTGCTCTCTGCTTATAAACACATGATATGAACACAAGTGGGGATCACACCACATGGTAGGCAAAAGCACAGCATGTTCAAGGGGAATGACCAACTTCACTGCATACCCACACAGGAATATTCTGCATTGAGAATATAAAAACTTTCAGTGTTTCATTTATACCCTTCCAAGAGCATCCCAAATTCATATGAAAAAAAAAATTCTTCCAAGAACATCCAGGAATGCTGATTTCAACAATGAAATTCTGGCAAGTCACTGAAATCAACTATGGCTTCTGCTTATTTTTGGCTCTGACAACCCTTCTTGTACAGTCACCTGCCTCCACTCCTCCATAGTGTGGTCCCAGGGACACAGGAAGTGTTGGGGGCCCAAGATTCCCCAAGGGAAAGACTGAGCACTTTAAAGTAATGGCTTCCAAAAAAGAGAACTCAAGTTTACTTCACACTGCTATTTACCAAGCTGTGTGCTCAAAGCCAGCTTTCGCATTCCGGGTGATCTCTCCCACTGTGGGAGGGACACTTGAGTTTGGATGGCACTCTAACAGGAGAATCTGTTTCCACTTTAAATGGAAAACCTGGTCCTAGTTACTGTGGAGATAGAAGGCATTTGTTTTTAGAAAATCTACTTTTGGCTTTTTTTTTTTCCCTATTATATAGCATAGAGTAAAGGCCTGGGTCATAAGTATATAAAATTTCCCATTTCATCATCAACAAGGAAACTTCAGGCTGGTAGAAATCAGATGAAATTGGGGGGAGGGAGACATGTTTTCTAAACATTGGGTGGCCTCAAGTGTCATCTCCCATTGATCCTGAAGCCCCCAGAGACAAGGTGAGCAGAGCGGTAGGCTGGCCCAGCAGCAACCCATACCTTGCAAAATCCCTGCTGGATCTAGCCAGTCTCACCCTCCTCCTGGCAGGAACTTACCCCCAGGCTTCAGGAGATTCCTGAACTAAAACACCAGCTACAGAGACAACAGAGCAGGCTGCTGGCTTGCTCCTGATTCTCCAAGCCCCTAGAAACCTAAGCAGTGGGGTCAACACGGTAGAAGGACTTTGCTTTCCCCTAAACAGGCTGACTTGGTTGTCTGGTCCTTCCTGGTGGTGGTAGACAGCTAACAGAGTCATCACAGACTCTTCAAATTCCAGACAGAAAAAAAAACATAGCTATGTTGAGTGGTTCTTAACATTGTGGGACCAAATTACCACTAACAAACTGTCACAAACACTAACTTTTGCAGGTGGTCCACAGGCCTCAGGTTACAATCTAGTCTCAGGTGTTGGCAAATTAGAGCCCAAGGACCAAATCTAAGCCTCCTTCTTTGGGATTATTTTTATTTTTGTTTTCTGGTGGTCCTGGGGTTTGAACTCATTGTCTCTTGAACCATGCCCCAGACCTTTGCGCTTTAGTTTGCTTTTCAGATAGGGTCTTGCACTTTTGTCAGGACCTGCCTCGGACCTCCTACATCTACCTTCTGAGTAGCAGGGATTACACATGTGTACCTATGTGTGCCACCACACCTGGCCCTCCTTTCTGTTTTTATAAATAAAGTTTTATTGGACACAGCCATACCCATTCATTTCTATTATGGTCTATGGCTGCTTTCGAATGAGAAGGGCAGAATTGAGCAGTTATGTGGAGACCATGTGGTCTGCAAAGCCAAGACTTTAACCTGGGCTCCTGACTCTTAGGCCAGGGCTCTTCAATACTGTCTGGATTTGGGTTTCTTGAGGCAGCACTGGGGTTTGAACTCAGGACTTCATGCTTGCTAGGCAGGTGCTTTTATCACCTGAGCCACTCTACCAGCCCCACTGTCTGTATTTGAATGGTCAATTAATTCAATTTCATGGCAGTTCCTTTGTTCCATCTCTGTACATGAAAATAAATACTCCTTGAAATACTAGAGATAGACTTTTCCACACACAATCATTTTAATCAGTTCTAAAAACTATAGAGTGGGCTTGGTTTTATGGGACTATTTTCTGGTAAATCCATTTCAAGGTTCAATTAGCGAAACTTAACGTCACAAAAAGTTCTGCAGTGCCTTGCCTCAGAAAGTGCTATTTCATATGGTTGACAGTTTTTCAAGCCCAAGGGCAGGATTAAATGATGCAAACTCGGCTAGAAGTTAACTTCTTGATTAGAAACCCTTCTTCTGGAGTCTGAATTTGTTCCCACCATATATACACATGCTTATGGGACTCCAGAGTAGCACCATAGCAGGCAATCAGCCCAGGCATTACTGAACTATCCTCAAAACAATTCCAAGAAAATAAACCCTCTTCTGCCACAAAGACAGCTCAGTCCCAGGAGACAAAATGTGCACACACTGTGCACACACTGCATCAGGTTCCATAGCCAGCCATCAGTTCTACAGCTTATGGACATCAGAATGTGTCACAGGGATAGCCACAAGAGAGGAAGAAAAGAGTTTTTATGAAAGCACTGGGGTCCTAATCAGAAGAGGCCAAGAGCCCAAACTTCACATTGCCTCAATTCAAGTTTCCATTAAGAAATTGCTTGGGCTTAGTCTAGTCAAATGTGCCCCTCTACCAGGAGGTGGCGACATGACCAGGCAGCCTCACTTTCCACTGTGACCCAAGGTCATCCCACCATTCACCAAGCCTGGTGTGAGCACCAGTGCCCCATGCTGCCAACACTCTCCCTACCACTGGGCACTGGCAGGGGACGAGCATCTGCCTGACACTAATCCTCCATTCACTTCTCCCCTTCACACTGTGCATCTCCACCCACTAATGATGTGGGGAAATACATGCATTTTCTAGAAGTTATTCCCTTTCCTACTCCTCTGTAGTTAGACTTGAACAAAGTGTTAACTAAATGCAAAGGGCCTTGGGAAGTTAAACCTGCTTGACAAAACCATATGGCGATGCCAGGCAGCAGTAGCTCACACCTATAACCTAAGCGACTTGGGAGGCTAAGATTGGGAGGATCTCCATTATAAGTCAGCCCTAGCAAATAGTTTTGAGACCCCCATCTCCAAACTAACCAGACCAAAGTGGACTGGAGGTGTGGCTCAAATGGTAGGTAGAGTACCTGCTTTGCAAGCATGAAGTTGAGTTCAAACCCCAGTCCTACCCCAAAAAAAATTCGTATGGGGCAAATTAATCAGCAGCCATGCCTTGGTGAGTGCATGGGTCAGGCTCTGTACTCTGCAAACATAATGGTTAGCAGCCCGGGCTCCAGAGCCACGTTGTGAGGGCTCAAAACCTACCCGTCACTTCCTGCTCACAGGACCTTAGACAGGTTGCTTACACTTTCAGTGCCTAAGACTCATGACCTGTAAAATGTGAATGATAATAATGACATTCACTACATCATTTAGTTGCAATAATACAAACAAAATGATTATGACAATGCCTGATGATTTGTGTCATTAACTCCATCACCAGTGCCTCAATGCAACAATTATTCCTACGGTGCACCACCCCTGCCACTGTCTGAAAGACACCTGGCTGCTGGGTGCCCTGGTACCTGAAGGGCTTGCTGTCAGGGTCAGTGTCCTTGAACCCCATCTCCTCAAGCTTACAACGCCGATACAATTCATAATGGCGGGTGTGTGTCTGTTCTCTCAAGTCCTCCATGTTCACACGGATCAGCATCTCCCTCAGCTTCACGAAATCACAATGGTTTTCATTCTCAACTGCAAGAGATGAGGAAGAAGGGTGGGTTATCAGGAATGAAAATCTGAAATGATGTTTCCAAGATGTGATTTTCGTTCCTAAATCTGAGGTCTCAAAAATGAAGATACCAACTCTGACAACGGTGATCATGGCGCTAATGGTGACAATACTGACTGCCAAGTTAGTGCAGGGTGCTGAGGGAGGAACTTTACAAATCTCATTTATACCCTTCATAATGATTCTGCCGTGTAGGTGTTGTAACTCTTGCCCTGCAGGCACAGAAGCCTGGCTTTGATGAGCAAACCAACCTCCCCATAGAGGTAAGGGTCTAGATTCAAATGCCATATCATCTAACTCAAAAACCAGGCCAGTTTCTACCCCTCCATGCTGTCAGGACTTGTACAAAGCAGTTTTTAAATGCACCATTATTCCCAATTACCAGATATTCACTGAAATAACATTTGCTTCGAACACGACTTTCTCAGAGATGATGGAGAAACAAGTATCCTCTTGCTTACAAGAAAATTTTTCAGCTTTCTGATACTTTGATGATACAACTGGTTCAAACTCCTAGGGATGAATTCTTTTTTCCTTTCCTAGGAATGTATACACAACCCTACACTTGTTTGGGGAGGGAAGAGGTAGGAGTGTGGTGCTGGAGATAGAACCCAGGGTCTTAGCAAGGACTCTACAATTTTAACCACTTCCCCAGACCCTTTATCTTTTTATTTTGTTTTTGGGACAGGGTCTCATTAACTTTACCCAGGCTGGCCTCTCACTCACTATCCTCTTGGCTCTGCCTTCCTAAGTGGGATTATAGGTGTACACCACCATGCCCTGCTACAACCCAACATCTTGAGGGACTGCCTCATGGCCACTAGGGATTGGTAGCTACTTTTGGCCACTGTCTACCTACCCCCATGAAGGCCAGGGGTGAAATGGTTCCATTCTCTCCTGCCTGCCGCCTGTACCTCCCTACACAAGATGGAGAGGGAAGAAATGTAGCCATTCACTGTAGGTACTAAATATAAGACCCTTTCCCATGACAAACATACCCTGCACCACACCCCAGGGGTACTGCCTGGCTTTTGCCATCTTGTTGCCAATCTTCACCTCTTCAGTACTGCCAACCACTGCAAACGGGAGATGGACCTACCAAGAAACAGAGGACAAGAGTGTTTATCTTCCCCAACTCCCAAAGATGTCTTCTCTACACACTTCTGCAGTCTGCCCCTTAGAGAGGATCTCTCTCTGCTTGGTAGCAAGAAAAGAGGCGGTACCAGGTAGAACAGGCAGGAGAGGACTCGGTGGATGCACTTTGTGCAGCCCATCCTCCACTGCATATTTGATGTAAGCTAGATTTAAAGGGAAACTGTAAGTCATGGCAACTGTACAGTAAGCTTCAGAATGTGCCATCCAACACAGTAGTGCTTTTCACTACTGAAAGATGGCTTATAGGACCAAGAAACTCATTCTAAAATTTTATTAAATTATATTTTAATTAATTTACATTTAAAATGGAAACAGTGCAAAATATTTTCCCTTTCAGCATAACTTTATTGTTTACTATGACTGCCATTTTAGAAGTCTTTCTCTTAAAACAAAGACCAGTCTACTCAAGGTAGATGCAAACCTTAAAGGAAATTATCTTCAGTATTTATTATCTCATATTAAAAAACTGTATGTTAAGAATGGCGAAGTATGAATCTACTTTTTAACTGAATTTTATGATATGTAAATACAGATCAAGTATTTCTGACAGAAATTTGAAATCTGAATTAAGAAGTAGCATCATTATAAAATATGCACTGGATTTCAAAGATCTGCTATTAAAATATCATAAAAGTTGAAACTAGGAATAGAAGGAATGTACGTCAACATAATAAAGGCTATATATAACAAATATAGCCAACATCATACTTAATGGGGAAAAACTGAAACCATTTCCCCTAACATAAGAAAAAAGACAAGGATGCCCACCTTCCCCACTCCTATTCAACATAGTCTTGGAATTCCTAGCCAGAGCAATGAGGCAAGAAGAAAAAATAAAAGGAATATAAATAGGTCAAACTATCCCTATTCACAAAGACCTTATACCTAAAAGATCACAAAAAAAAAAAAAAAAAAATTCCACCAAAAAACTCCTAGATACCATAAACAGCTTCATAAATTAGCAGGACACAGAATCAACTTACAAAAATCAGTAGCCTTTCTATACACCAAAAATGAATTGAAAAAGAATATAGGAAAACAATTCCACTTACAATAGCCTCAAAAAAATCAAATACCTAGGAATAACCTTAACAAAGGATGTAAATGACCTCTACAAGGAGAACTACAAACCTCTGATGAAAGAAATTGAGGAAGAGAGATCTCCCAAACTCATGAATTGGCAGAATCAACATAGTGAAAATGGCTATACTACCAAAAGCAATCTACATGTTCAACGCAATTCCCATCAAAATCCCAATGACATTCATCACAGAGATTGAACTATCTACCCTGAAGTTCATTTGAATAGCCAAGGCAATACTCAGCAAAAAGAGCAATGCTGGAGGTATCATAATACCGAACTTCAAACTATAGTACAGAACCATAACAATAAAAACAGCATGGTACTGGCACAAAAACAGATATGAAGACCAGTGGAACAGAACAGAGGACCCGAATATGAATCCATATAGCTACACTCACCTTATTTTTGACAAAGGTACCAAAAACATACGATGGAGAAAAGACAGCCTCTTCAAATGTTGCTGGGAAAAGTGGTTATCTATCTGCAGAAAACTGAAACAAGATCCATGCCTGTCACCCTGTACAAGTATGAACTCAAAGTGGATTAAACTTTAATGTCAGACCTGAAACCTTGTAGTACAGGGAAGTGCAGGGAATACTCTGGATACAATAAGCATAGGCAAGGACTTCCTCAGTAGAACTCAAGCATTCCAGCAACTTAGAGAAAGGAAAGCTTTCTTCCTTAATTTCATGGTACTACATGAAATTAAATAGCTTCTACCCACCAAAAGAAATGGTCTCTAAACTGAAGAGACCACCCACAGAGTGGGAATTAATCTTTGCTAGCTATACATCAGACAAGGAACTGATAACCAGAATATACAGGGAGCTGGAAAAACTAAACTCCCCTCCCCCGCCAAATCAATGACCCAATAAAGAAATAGGCAACTGAACTAAACAGAACTTTTTCAAAGGAAGAAATCCAAATAGCCAAAAAACACATGAAAAAATGCTCAGCATCCCTGGCCATATAGGAAATGCAAATTAAAATCACACTAAGATTCTACCTCACCCCTGTTAGAATAGCTATCATTGAGAACACCATCATGAACAAATGTTGGTGAGGATGCAGGGGAGAAAGGAACCCTCATACACTGCTGTGGGAACATAAGCTAGTACAACCACTTTGGAAAACAATATGGAAGCTTCTTAAAAATCTAAACATAGATCTGCCATATGATCCAGCAATACCACTCATTGGGATATATACTTGAAGGAATGCAACTAGGTTATTACAAAGGCACCTGCACACCCATGTTTACTGCAGCACTATTCACAATAGCCAAGCTATGGAAACACCCAAGATGCCCCACCACTGATGAATGGATTAAGAAAATGCAGTATTTATACACAATGGGATTTTACTCAGCCACAAAGAAGAATGAAATTTTGTCATTGGCAGGTAAATGGATGGAACTGGAGACATCATCTTAAGTGAAGTTAGCCAGGTTCAGAAGTCCAAAAGCCACATGCTCTCCCTCATATGCAGATTACAGACTTAAAATAAATACAGCAATATTATGGGACACAGGTCACACTAAGGGGAGCTGTGCAAGGGAGGGACAGAGCAAGGGAAGGAAACCAAAACCTTGAATGAGGTTGATGTGCTCAGTGTACAGGAATGAATATAGAAATTAAACTGGCCGGGGCCACCATGGGAAGCAGACTAGAGAGGAGTGAAGAGGACTAAAGAGGCAAATCAACTGGAGCTGTAATACACATGCATGGGAACAACACAAGGATACTCCCCGTGTAGCTATCTTTATCTCAAACTAACAAAACGTCACGTTTCTTGTTTTATCTGTTACGTTTTTTCTTCTACAAAATTGGAGAATAGGAGGGCAGAACAGGCTCTGCTGGAGAGGAGTGGAAGGAGAGGGGGTGGGCTAGCACTAGTGGGAGTGGGAAGGTGGGGAGGTTGGGGTAGGGGGTGGGGGTTTATAAGGAAGAAAATGGTGCAAACAATGTACACACATGTATGTAAATGCAAAAATGATACCTGTTGAAACTGTTCCAGGAATCAGGGGGGTTGTAGAGAACTCAAGCATGATGTATTTAAAGCATTGTAACAACCTTTGTAAATGCTACAATGTACCCACACCCAGCACAACAATAATAAAATAAGTAAAATGAAAAAATAAAATACCACATCAGTTATTTTTAAACTGATTTACATGTTGAAATACATTTTGGGTATATTAGATTTTTTTTTTTTGTAATACTGGGGTTTGAACTTATGGCCTACATCTTGAGCCCCTCCACAAGCTCTTTCTTTGTCATGAATTTTTTTTTTTTCCCTAAGATAGAATCTTTCCCACTATTTGTCTAGGCTGGCTTCAAACCTCCATCCTCCTGATCTATGCTTCTTAAGTAGCTAGGATTACAGGAGTGAGCCACTGGCTTAGATTGAGTTCTTAAAATTAATGCCAAGTTTCTTTCTGCTTTTTCTAACGAAGCTACTGGAAAATTCTTAATTACTTGTGTAGCTCACATAATATTTCTATTGAGCAGAACTGGTTTAGACAGTTGATCGCTGCACAAATTTCAAGTCAGAAACACACTTTTGCCAAAAATATTGGCTCAAGCCTTGCACCCAACTATATCTGAGATGGTGTCCAAGACAACTGACTTTTCACGTTGGCTTATTTGGTAGTTATGGCTACATTCTGGGGGTGGGGAGAAAAATAATTCTGTTTTCTGTCAGCATACAAGAATAAAGAGATTGAAATAGCTGCTCTTTGATCCACACTTCTTCCTGTATGGATTAAGTTGAGAAGTAAAAGACGGACTTCAAGCCAAATTCTCTCCCAAAGAGAGTGTGGCAAGACCCTTGGCTCAAGTTGCCCAAGTGATATTTTGTAAGATGCACAAGTTATTTAAATTTTCTACTTCATCCCACACTCTATAGGAAGGAAAGCACATTTGCTTTCTCAAAGTTCAAGTCTGAAACTCAAGCATGTTCCCTTAAGTTGAAGAACAAAAAGACCTTTCCAGCCAACCTTGTTAAGGACCAAGGAAAGGTCTCCTTTCACTCAATGTGACAAAAGCAACCACCAGTGGACTCCTCCTAGGCTTTCCACACATCATACAGCACAACATCAGCAAGATATTTGCAATGAAGAGCTTAAAAGAAAATTTCCTGATAAAGAGCAGGATTAATTTGGAATGTTGACGATCTTCAGTTCTATTAATTTGATAGACAGAAGAGGGCAAAAGTTCATGGGTATTTTCTTTCCAAGAAGCTTAACACAAATTTAGTTTCATAACCATGAGACATTATTTAGAAGGGTGGGGAGGGATAGAAAAGAATGGTAGTCATTCGTGATATTTCCTGAGCCCTACTACACTGACGTTTCCAAATAGCAGTACCACAGCAGAACACAAGTGGCATCTCAGCCTGGATTTTTGACCACACTACAAAAAGAGCACACCACTCTGCTTTTATTCAGTATTTTTTTGGGGGGTGGGGGGAAGTGGCAGTTCTGGGGTTTGAACTCAGAGCCTCATGATTGCAAGGCAGGTGCTCTACCACTTGAGCCACTCCAACAACCCTGCTCTGCTTTTAAATGACACTAAGAATAAAGGGTGAGAGTGTCAGCTTGAAGCCAGACTGCCTGGGTTCAAATCCCAACTCCACTATCGAGAGTATTGCAATAGTAGGTGCTGTGCTGCAGCCTCCTCACTGTGAGGCACCTACCCACAGGAATGCTGTGAGGATAAAATGGCACACATCAAATGTTCCATCAGCCTCACAAATGCCAGCTGCTACTGCTACTCTAAAGCTCTCAATACTCACAAGCAGAGAATGCCAGCGATAGAAGAGATCCTACATATTATCCATTTCAGCCCTGTCTGAA